CTAGTTTTTAATATTTTTACAAGATTTGGAATTTCCTTGAGCCTCCTAATGCCCTTTATGAGTTGGCATTGTTATTTTGGCTGTGCAAGGATTGGTGCTCATCCCTGAACTTCAAAAACAAGTAGACGGATGACTATACAGAATCTCCCAGGTTCAGAGGCAGAAGAATAAATATTTTTGCTTCCAAAGCTGTTGTCGTTTTGAAGAAATTTCTTTACAATTGTCTTTTTCATATATTTGGGGCTTTCAAAAGAATATTAAAAGAGCTTAAACTGCAGCAAAAAGGAATGACGTTATGTTCTGACATGAAGTGCTCAGGACATGATGAATGGTAGAGACACATAGTCTAATCAATCCCTGTTATACACAGAAGGGCAGAGCTAATAAAAGAAAAATATAACATTGTCAAAAAAGAACTCTGGCATTTTGCTTTTCTATTTCAAAACAGAATAGTTCTACATGAGGAGATATATATATAGACACACACACACACACACACACACACACAGTGTGGTACCTCTGTTTACAGACGCTTCTGGTTACAGACTCCGCTAACCCAGAAATAGTACCTCGGGTTAAGAACTTTGCTTTAGGATGAGAACAGAAATCGTGCGGTGGCAGCAGCGGGAGGCCCCGTTAGCTAAAGTGGCACCTCAGGTCTCAGGTTAAGAACGGACCTCCAGAACGAATTAAGTTCTTAACCTGAGGTACCACTGTATGTGTGTGTGTGTGTGTGTGTGTGTGTGTGTGTGTGGAAGGAATGGGAATTTAGACAGTATATTTAGGCAATAAATGCTATTCACAGTCACTCCAAATCCCATACCTATTTACCACTGAGTGATCTGCCACCAGCACATTCCTAATCATTCTGTTATAATAAGATAGGGCATGTTTAGCTAAACTGAAGGGTAGCCTGAATTTAGGCATATTTAAATGAGAGTAAATTTACATCAAATTTCTGGTAACCTCTAGATTAGGTTACTGCAATGTGTTATATGTAGGGCTGCCCCTGAAGATGGTTTGAAAACTTCAGCTGGTGCAAAATTCAGTGGCTGGGTTGCTCACTGGGGTAAGATGGCTTGAGCATGTAATCCCAATCCTGGCCTGACTGCACTGGCCAGCAATTAGTTCCCCCCCCCAAAAAAAACCCCTGTGTTGCAATATTTTGCAATATATTTTCTACTAACTATTAGCCTATGTGTTGTGTTTGTATTGTTGTGATCAATTAGTTTCCGGCAGGGTGGATTTGATTTAAATCAAATCGATTTAAGTCACGATTTAAAGCACTAGTCAGCAAGACTTGATTTAAATCATAGTTTAGAGGTCCTGGGCCCTAAGGAAGTCAGACTATCCTCCACCAGGGCCAGGGCCTTCTCAGTGATGGCTCCGACCTGGTGGAATGCTCTGTCCCATGAGACTAGGGCCCTTCAGGATTTAACTCCTTCCGTCAGGCCTGTAAGACAGAGCTATTCCACCTGGCCTTTAATTTGAATTTAGCCTGATATTTTATTTCCCTTCTCTTCCCTCCCCCTCCCCTTTTATGCAGATCACCCGCTCTGAGAACCCACAGCTAATTCTCCCCTGGCCTCCTCGCTGGACCAAGTAGGACCAATTTATCCAGCTAGCCCTGGGGATTATCTAATGCTTATTTCCCCTAAATTGATTTTTGAATTTTATTGTTATTCATGTTTTTATACTGCATTTTATGCTGCTTTTATAATTAAGTGTTTTAAAGTGTTTTAAATTTGTTGTTAGCCGCCCTGAGCCCGGTTTTTGAACCAGGAAGGGTGGGGTATAAATAAAAATATATTATTATTATTTATTATTATTAGAAATACATTGACAGATAATTATGAAATTATTGTGAGGTTTAATAAGTTAACTGTTTATATTTGGACAATTTTTCTGCTGTACTTGACTGGAAGGAGAAACATTATCATTTCCTTAATAAAAAGTTAAACAGTTTAACTAAAACAATATTATAGCATATGTATCCATGTTTGCTAACTGATGTGGTTAAACGATTTTAAAAAACACACCTTAGACTGAGTTTTAGCATGGGAAAACTTAAAACAAATCCTTATTTCCTGATGAATAGCCTTTGGACCATAATGTAACTTAAATAGAAAACTATATTTAGAAAGATTTTTCCTCCTAAAGCATTTTATTTTAAAAATCCAATTTAAATAAAAAAAATCTGTTTTAAATTTTAAAAAATCCTATTATTATTATTTTAAAAATTGATTTTTATCCACCATGGTTTCCAGGTCCAATACAAAGTGCTGTTTTTGACTTATAAAGCCTTAAACGGCTCAGGACCATAATACCTCAAGGATTGCCTCTCCCCATATGAACTGACCCAGACCCTGTAGCCACCCTTTGAGGCACTTCTTTGTGTGCCTCCTCCATGAGAGGTCCGGAGGGTGGCAACATGAGAACGGGCCTTTTCTGCAGTGGAATGCTCTCCCCAGGGAGGTTCCCCTGCCACCTCTGTTACATATATTTAGGTATAGGGGAAAAACATTCCTCTTCTCCCAGGCCTTTGCTAATTTAACTGCCTACAGTCTTTTAAACTGGGGGTGGGAGCATTGTTTTTGTTTGCTACTATGTTATGCACTTTTGTGTTTTAATGTTGTTTCTTCTTGTGACCGTGTTGGATTTTCTTGGCAATTTGTCTTGGGATACTACTTCACATACATTATCTCTGTAATCCTTGCAACAACAAGGCAAGGTCAGCGTTATTGTTCTCTTGCTGTTGGGGGGTGAGGCTAAAGCTGAGAGATAGAGGCTTGCCTATGCCCATCTAGTGACTTTAATTGGCAGAGATGAGATGTGGCCTAGGGATTTTCTACCTCTTAACTCCTGTGCATTCCCACTATATCACACTATACCAGCTTCCTATGTGACTGATAGAAATAGAAGTAAAATCCTGCAACATGGCTCTACAGAGCCCCCAAATGGAAAGTCATATTTGTATGTGATCATGAAAGGTGGGTAAACACATTATTCAAAATAATACCTGATAGCTCTCCAAAGACCATAGCACACGGGTAATTAGGAAAATCATCTCCTTCATATCCATATGCTGAAAAGAAAAGGAAGGTGTGTTCCATCCCTAATAATTGATTTTTGGGGATAATATTTTACCCATTACATAATTATATGTTACCATAATTCCCTAACATGAACCCCCATCTACCAGGATACATTTGGATGAAAGGTAGCCTACAAAAACCTTCAGATACTAATCAGACAGACAGACAGACAGACAAACAAACAAACAAGAATCTTCCCCAAAAGTTATTTGGACAGAATAGTTAAGGGAATCATTTGTTCCAGCTTCTTCTCCTTTTTTAAGTGGTGGGGTTGGAGGAATCCATTAATTCCCATGATGCTACTTGTAAAGAAACAAGTTCTCTGTCCTACAAGAGTGGCGATAAAAAGGTCATTTCCACAAAGTGCTTTTTTTTGCAATGACCATTTCACATTTTGTTCTAGAAGGGAAGAAACAAATGGAGTGCCAGAATTTCCAAGGGGGACTGAGGGTTAAGACCCTTTGCCCGTGCGAAAAGTGGACTCAGGCTGTGCTGTATGCCAGCAAAGTAAAGACCCCCAAAAATGTTTTGCAGTTTTGACTCCTACATTAAATTAATTTTTAAATTAGCGTTAGCTGGATTTACATTCTTCTTGTGATTTTGCACAATTCAGTTCATGAGTGCTGCACTTTCATTTTCATTACTTATTGTGCTTCTGGTCCTTCAACTGATAAGCTTATTAGTTTATTCATTAACCGTACAAGTTATAATTATTTGATTAAATCTGCATTCATGAATAAAATAATAAAAGCATTATTCCTTTGCTTTTAGATGATGTATTCATGTTTCACCGCAGGCAGGGTCTTAGATGAGACATTCCCTCCTGCAGGACAGGAGGAGAAACACACCTTCTTAAAGCCACAGCAACATCTGCCACCACTTTGGCTGCCCCACCCCAACAAAAATCCTGACTACTACGCCCATGTCTGCCACCCACAGTTTTTGTAAGCACTTGCATTAAAAATAATTAACAGCGTTTCTTCAAAATTTGCTACCTGATCATTCAAGGGCATATTTCGACTCCATTTAAATGTTTTAAATTAACCAATTACACTGAGGCCCTAAACATGACAATCCAGCCCTATAGAACTTAGAGCACTAATGCCCCATTCTCAGAAAATATTGTCTCTATCGGGTCTAGGAACTTCCTTTAACGTAGTAAAAATGATTATCAGTTTTTAATCATAGTGTTATCCATTTGCTCTGCAAAGTCCACACATCTTTGCTCCTGGCTGTGCCTTAGGATATTCTGTTTGAAGGCTGAATGTGCTCGGAAACATGTTATATTTTGTATAGAGTTTGTGTGCTTATCTTCCCCGAGAAAGCTATTTATCTTGCCACAGAGGTGCCTGTTGCAATTGTTCTTTGGAGTATAGTTTGCACCAGTGTCACACAGGCACCTGCTGGATATTATCTGTGATGTCAGGAATGACGCAACACAACTGCTGTCTCCCATAGCTCCAAGGTTGCGAACGTGAACTTTTTCACCCATCTTTAAAAGGGGGAAAAATAAAAGTGTATGGAAGGCAATGCATTTTCGTGCAGCAAGGCTGCATTTATCCACCAGTAGTTTTGAAAGATGTCAAAGGCAGAAAGGTTGTCCATCACGAGCCATCCAGCCATTCTTGGCAACTTTACTCCGGGAAGGGAGAAAATGCTTTTATTTGCAGATTTCTCCCTGACCCTGTTTGCCAGTAGCTATCTGCCCTCTCCCTTTTATCAGATTTGTAGGAAGCCTACCACGAGGCGACATCTACCGCGGTAACTGCCCTGGGTGGGAATCCCGCAAAAACAGACATTCTCGGGACCTCCCGGTTGTCTGGCAACGCATCAGGTTCCCTGTGGCGACTTCGTGCCCTGAGAAACCTTCTAAGGAGCTGCACGTGCGAGCGCTCAAGCCAGGGTGCTGGTGGGTCTCTGGGCGGTCGGTGGCAGATTTTGGCGCGACGTCGCCTGGGACTCCTGCCAGGCGCTGTGAGGCGCAGGAACCACGGGTCTCCCGCTCCCCACTTGTGCCCGGATTGCGCTGCTGATTGGCCGTCGGCTCCTCGCGCGCGGCCCAGCCCGGCCTCCCCGTCAGAGCGCCCTCCCTCCCTCCCTCCGTCCAGTCAGCTCGCTTTCCTCGCCTCGAGGTGACCCACTTGTAGCTCGCGCGCTGGGCTCGAGCGGGAGAAAAAAGTGAGCGGGACTTGCAAGGGTCCGGCGCGTGCGTTGCGCGCGGACGCGTTTCCTCTTCTAGGCGCGCGGAAGGAAGCCTCGAGGACTTCTTCCTTCTTCCCGCCCGGCTGCTGGCGAGGGTCGAGCGGCAAAGAAAACTTCGGGAAAGGGGCCGCGTCGCGTCGGTGAGGCGAGAAGCAGAGCGCGCCGGCTGCTGAGAAGTCCCTCGCGAGCAGGGACCGGGCGGCGCCGAGCCTCGGCGTCTCTCTTGCCGCCTTTTGCTCGCCGGGATCGCTCCCCTGGCTCCCCGGCGATGGAGTGGGGCAGCCTGGGCGCTGGCTCCCGCCCAGGCATCTCCGGGGCGAGGTGACTCTCTTTCGCCAGCCGAGCCCTGCCGTTTAGGGACCATGAGCCCGTGAAGCTCTTCGGCCTTGTAGCTCGTCAGGCGCAGAAGCGACCGTCGGCGGGACGCGGGTGCTAAGTGAAAGGGCGGCGAGCGGGAGCCATGGGGGCCAACAGCACCCCCGCCTTCAATGCCACCGACGCCTGCCCCACTCCCGAAGAGGAGCCGGACTACAACTTCGCCGCGCTGGTCTTCGGCGTCTTCCTCATCCTCTTCATCATCAGCGGGAATTTGCTGGTGTGCCTCAGCGTGTGCACCGAGAAAGCGCTGAAGACCACCACCAACTACTTCATCGTCAGCTTGGCCGTGGCAGACCTGCTCCTGGCCATCCTCGTGTTACCTCTCTACGTCTTCTCAGAGGTAAAGTCCATCGCCTTTTCCTCTCGCCTCGCTTTCCTCTTTCCCCCTCGCGAAGGTAATTTCCCATGCAACCTTTATTTGAAGGGGCGGGAGCAGGCACCACCTATGTTAATAAATATCCCTTATTTTGAAGCACGACTATATATACTTCAGAAGGTGAAGTGCAACGAGTGGCCAGGACTTTAAAGAGAGTTGTGCAGCAGGAGGGGATTTCAAGGTAGGTGCAGTTTGCTGCGTCCTAGTGTTGCCCAAGGAGGAGAAGAGCAGGACCTGTCGGAATTTCTCTTTCCCACAACTCTCCAAAAGGTCCCCAAATCCTTGTCGACTATTGCAGATTTGAATGCCACAGGGCAGCCTTTGCAGGAGAGCTTGTGGTGCCATGTGGGCATGTTTGGGATCCTGTAATGGAAAGCCTGTGAAATGTTGCTTCAGTGCTTAGACCTTGCACATAGTTGTCAGGGACTTGCTGTGGGACTTCATGGAGTCTGGGGGTGCTGTGCTGTCTAGGTGAGCCTGCAGGGCTAACTGGGAGCAGAGAGCACACATCTACATTGCAATCTTTGTAGCTGCTGTGCGGACAGTGTCTCTTGCATGAGCCTGCAAGAGACAGTGAGGCAGGCAGAGCATCAGCACAGACTGAGCCTGTACCTTCTGTACTTTCTGTCTAGTGGTTGAGAAAGACCCGTGCAAATGTGTTCAGACCAGAACAGATGCCGCAGTTCTGTGGTGCCCTAATTTCTTTGAAGTTTTCTGCTAACGGTATGATTGTTGGCACTTCAATATGTAATGCTAGGTGGATAAAGGCATATTACACAGCCACAGGTCTGGGCGTTGGTTGAATATTGTCAGGACTATGGTGATACAGGAGCAATGGCCTATTGATGATGGTGGGTTGTTTTACTATGTCATCTGTGGGTATATACCGTGTTTCTCTGTATATAAGACTAGGTTTCCCCCCTAAAAAATAATGTCCAAAATTTGGGGGCATCTTATACACGGGGGCCATCTCCCTCCATTTTCTTAAATCAGAGTCCCGAAAAATAGGGGGCATCTTATACATGGGGGTGTCTTATAGACAGGAAAATACGGTAGTTCTTCTTTGTGACAGTAGTGTTTGGGTTTTTTAACATATGAGGAGTGGAGGTATGTAAGTAGGGGATTTGTCCAAACTATTCAGTATGTCTGTTATAGAAGTGGTATTTGTGCTTAGATCTCTTTGGTCCAAGTCCGACATTTCCTCAATACTGACTAATCTTAAATAGCTAATTTGCAACAATTTTACCATAGAATCTGATGCTAAAGTTGCAAGTGTCTTCATAACCTGGGGAAATTAGCTAGGAAATAAAACGAAATGTGTTTTCTATCCAAGTTTCAGCACCATGGGGCATTATGGATTTATGTAGCATAAACACTGTTACATAGTCATGGTTTGAAACTAAACATAAGGTTACTCCTGAAGAAGTTCAACCTAGGTTCTAGGACATCTGCTAAGGAATGCAGCCTAAACTTTTGTGGTTTTGGGTAGTTTGCAAGCAGTGTGTGGACAGTGGTTGCAGCTAGGGCCGGATCTTAGGGCTGAAGCTCAGGGCTCCTCAGCCAAGGTTGCTCACTGAGGAACACCCAGAGAGTGACAGGTGGGGTGGCAATGGCACTGGGATTTCTACGGGCGTGCTAGAGCCAACCGGGGGTGATGGTCATTGTTGCAACATCTTTCCTATTTCCTTCCTCTTTTATTAAACAAAATATGTACTTGGGACCAGACAGGCAGACACATACTTAGTCATTTTATTGTTTTTACTTCAAGAAATATATTATCTCTTTCTACAAAAACGTGCTGCTTATTTTCATGCAAACACCTTTACCATCAGGGCAGCACAAATGAGCTCCATTTTGTTCCTGCAGTCACAGCGGGGTTATGATTTAAATGAGTTCAAAATGTGAAACTAATCAGGGTTGGCAAACTGTTTTTTGTTTGCTTTTTGTCCTAACGTGTCAGGAATGTACAATCAGCTTTACAGCATGGAATGGCAGAGGAGGGCAAGTAGAGAAGTATTACCAGATGATGTAATATACACAGCCACCTTTTTGGGGGGGGGAGGTGGGTGCCTATAAGACCATTAAGTCAAGGATCTAAACTTATCTAGCTTTGCCACTCTGTGCTGATCTCATGCAAAACATTTGGAAAATCAGAAGTTGAGATAAACGAGAGCACTGTTAGTGCTAGTTAAGTGAGCTAACTGATACATGGGAGATTTACAGTGTCCAGGTGGATCTCAGATAAGCCCAAATGGCAGATGAAGCAGAAATTCAAGTGCTTCTTGCAGATTTGGAAAGCAAATTGTTCCAGAGCTGAACATTTGTTTAGCTTTGGTTTCTTTGTCATTGAAAATTTGTGTGGCATCTGAGGAAGATAAAACTCATGGGCAGCTTGAATTAGGGTGATTTGCCTTGCTGTTTGCTAGAGGTTATTTTGTGGGGCATTGATATGTGTGCATGCATGCCTGCTACAGGTCTCTGTTTTACAGCATAACCAAGAATTAATGTTCAAAGTAGGTGTGCCATTCCCTCTTAGATCTGATTCAAAGTCATTTGGAGTTAATGGAAGTCTTGTGAGGCAGAGGTGTGAGAGGAGCTAAATGTGGAGTAGATTGAATGTCAGAAATATGTATTAGAATATGAATTAGAAACAGTGATGCGACACATACCACACCCTATTATTATCCATTATCTTAGCAGGCTGTTATTAGATGAAAAAAGCACTTATGTTTCCAAGGGTACCTCTAATTTAAAGAAGAAAAGAAGCCTTTTGAGCTAAAACATTCTTCCCATTTACATGCAAGTGAATGCAGCTTTTGGGTAATGCTTGCTTGGCTCCTGATCTCATAAAGGTAAAGGTACCCCTGCCCGTACGGGCCAGTCTTGCCAGACTCTAGGGTTGTGCGCTCATCTCACTCTATAGGCCGGGAGCCAGCACTGTCCGCAGACACTTCCGGGTCACGTGGCCAGCGTGACAAGCTGCATCTGGCGAAACGCCGTTTACCTTCCCGCTGGTAAGCGGTCCCTATTTATCTACTTGCACCCGGGGGTGCTTTCGAACTGCTAGGTTGGCAGGCGCTGGGACCGAACGGCGGGAGCGCACCCCACCGTGGGGATTCGAACCGCCGACCATGCGATCGGCAAGTCCTAGGCACTGAGGTTTTACCCACAGCGCCACCCACGTCCCTGATCTCATAGTCCATTGAAATAAACTGGAAAATAATATCCACCAGCTTTTGATCCTCGTGTATCTCTGCTTTAAAGCACACAAGTCTGTATTTAGCTCTCTATTCTGTTGCATGTGCAGTTCTTAAAGACTCATACTGATTTTCTCTGCAAATTGTCTAATATTTTTCAGTTTCAAATAATGAAACAGTGGTTAGAGGAACACATTATTGAGTCCTTGGTTCTGTTGTATCTCTGACCCTTTGAGATACTTTATCCTCTTTCCATTTGCAAAATGTTGGTGACAATATGGTTTCAGCAAAGTTTGAAGTAGTAACATCCATGAAACCTGTGATGTGCAAGGAGGGTAGGGAGTTATTTTGACTGATTATATACAGAATGCAAAACCTGTATCAACTAGCCATTATAGGACTCGGCGAATTGCTGAGAAAGATTTTGAAGAGCGGTATCTTCTAGCATGTGAATCCTGAAACATTGATATTCAAAAGTTACCAGGAAAGCATGACTTACATAAAAGAGAGGTGCTCAATGGAATTTCCCAAACATCCCAGGGCAAATAGATATGCAGCAGTCAGTGGTGCTCAAAATCTATGAACACAGGTAGAGCACAGGGTTAGAAGACCCACACATGTATGCATCACATAAAATCCAGAGCAAGAGGCAGGCAGGATTTCTGAATGTTTTATGAGATTAGTATGACTTAGAAGTAGAGAGTCGGCAGCAGAAGAAGGCCTGGAAAAGATGGGAGTGTTTGGATGATTTGGGAACTGTGGCACTGCAGGGAAGTGTTGGAGCAAACATGCACGACTCATAACCTATAAGGCTGAAATGTAGCCAACTACCCATCTATTGTTGCATCCAAGGTACTTGACAGGCTCCCTGTTTTCACATTTCTGGGCAGGTAGCACCTCAAAAAAAAAAAAAAAGGTTTAATTTGTTGCTGGTAGTTAAAGGCTACACAGGCCTGTACTAGGAGATATACAACGTCATAGCATATACAACACATGGTAAAGGAAGAGGAGCTGTAGTGGCATTTCTTCTTTTGCCTCCAGAGCGTAGCTGTTTTCTGCTGAATTGGCAGGTGTTCATATTCCAACAAGAGCATAAAACCCTGGCGAAGACATGTATGGAAGTACAGTACATACATTTCCAAAATTTGTGTGTGTGATGTGATGTGAAGCTGTTTAGAAAGCTAGAGATATCTCCCTGTCCTACTGAAGTGTGAGGATTGCCCACCTCATTCAGATGTAACGACCCATGTGTTCCTTGAAAACGGTGTTTCTTGTGCCCATTAAGGACACCACATGTCTGTACAATGAAGGTTCTCCACAAGCTGCAGCACAGTGAACAGAAATGTGCCTCCCTGTGATAGGCAGAACTCGCCTTGCCCAACTGATAGGGAAAGGCAAAATAGCCAGGGAAAAGAGGGATGCATGCGTTGCAAATAAACTTTGGTATGCAGTGACAACACACATAGGTTTTTGGCCATGTTCCTCAATCTCTTTGCTGCCTTAATCTGACAGATTTAGTTTAATTGCTCCAAGAAAAATTATGAGCTGCATTTTTGGGGCATTTATGACCCTTATGACCCTTTTTAAGGGGGGGGGGTTCTTACCTTTGCTTTGTCCTTTAGACATATGCCACTGTGACTTCTTCAGTCAAGTGATGCTTGAAAGCAGTCATCCTTCCCCTTCTTTGGGCTTTTCACCACGTAGCAATATTTCCAGCAATTGTATCATAGCTTTTAATGATTATTTTAAGGTGAATAATTTGTTGGT